TGAGTCTGTGTCTCTCCCTCCTGGAGTCAGTTTTCCTCAAATGGGAGATGTTTCTTGTCTGTGTGCTCACCTTTTCCTGCTGCAATATTCCTCACAGTTGAGACTTCCTACCTCCTACCTTTCAGGGGCTTCTCTTCCATGAAAAGCTTCCTTACCCTTCTTATTTTCAAGTGTGTGTGTGTGTGTGTGTGTGTGTGTGTGTGTGTGTGTGAGAGAGAGAGAGAGAGAGAGAGAGAGAGAGAGAGAGAGATGTAATTTTTGCAGATTTGAAGTTCAGAGAGAAAAGACACAGCATTTGCCAAACCCGTGTGATTTAAATTAAAAGTCTATCCTTCTGTCTCTATATAATCTTGTATTTGGGGGTGCCACATGATAACACTTATCAAACAGCTTGATTTGCTAGAAATCATTCCCTTAAAACAAGCCAAAAATTAACTTTCCCTAAACTCCACTCATTGGTCCCAGTTCTACACTTCATATCTATATGAATACAGCAGACCTGAGTTAAAGAAAACTCTCATGTTCTCCCTAGCATTTCTCTTCTCCAGGACAAAAATACTCAATTTTTTCCCCAAAATTCCTAACAGTCATACAGAGTCTTTGCTATTTTAAGTTGCTGTATACCTCTTAACCTGGTTTTCATATGAGAGTTTGTTCAATGTACCTTTTAAAGTGGGTCTCCAGAACTGAACAGGTGCAGGCAGTCTGACCATTCAGAGTCCAATAGCACTCTGATGTCTCTTGTTCTGGATGGCCTATTTCCAAAAGCACAATCCAAAAACCCTGTATCATTTTGTAGACACATACTGAGCTGACAGTACAACGCTTTCCTGCTTTGTTCTATTCAGCCATTCTCCCCCTCCCCTATTCTTCACTTGTTTTTGGAAACCAAAAATCAGGACTTTATAAGTAGCCCTGTTAGGTTTCATGTTATGCTCAGACTAGGGCTATAGACAAGATCAGAGACAACCACCCCATATTGCTAAGCAGTTCCCCTCCCCCACCCATCACCCACCCTTTAACTGCTTAAGAACATTTGGGGAGAAAAGGAACTCCATTCCAGGAATGTTACTCCAATACTTTCACTGCCTCTCTAGAACTGCTGAATAGAGCCATCAACTTGGAAAATCCATTGTCTTTGAGTCTCTGACCCCTTTAAACATTGTTCTTGGTTGACTGAATGCCATTTATCTATGGAACAGCCCTCCCTGTACTTTTGAGAAGTCAACACCTATTCAACTTATTGCATAAACTCGATTATGTTTTAGGCAATATAATTAGCCTTCTTTTTATATTAGAAAAAAATTATGCATCCCTCTGAAGATCTTATAGTGCTAAGATTAATCCCTATTTAAAAATTGTATGCAACCTTTTGTAGATTTCCACAGATCCTGTTCAGTGTCCTCAGTCCAATGGCCACTCCAGCTGAGAGCAGTAAAAGAGAACACAGTCAGGACAGGTGGTAAGAATACTAATCAGTGCATTCCCCGTCTTTGACCATGAAACTCATAGAACCAACCTACATTCACAATTAGAAAAATAATGTCCCTTCCTTTCTGCCTTCAACACAATCCTAAAAATTGAAACTTGGAAAGTGTATTACTTTTTTTAAGTTTTAACAAGAAGAAGAAGACAGTACAATTATCTTAAAATGTAGAATATAAGTTCATCTCCCAAAAGGCAGAGCAGTTTGTCCCAGAAGAATACTTTCCTGGCTCAAATTTTTATAACGCTGCTCCAAATTTAAGCTTTGTCTTTTAAGGCGTAAAATTCAAAGGTCAAATTCAAGTTGGGTACTCAAAGACGAAACAAAACAATTATCTGATTAATTCAATTAGCTAGTCTACATCATTAGGATTCCTATACTTTAAGTAATTTTTAAAAAGTCATTATTTACATAATTTCCACAACTTTCCATTTCATGTTATTTGAGAAATACGTTATTTTGAAAAGAACCTTGTGGTTGTAATATCAAAGATTTTCCATACACTGCTTTGGGTGAGGGGAGAACTGTTAGCACTGCCTTTTAATTTTTCCCCACTGTAAGTGTTGTACTTAAATAGCCTATTAAACTATTTACTATATGTGAGAAGGCCATTGAATGATTGTTTCCACATTGCAACAAGAAGTTAGTCGTAAATCTAAGAAGTTCACAAGAAAAACTAAATCAATATTAAATAAATGAATCATGTAAAGAGTCAAAATAATACTTCACTCGCATAGTTAAAAATGTGCTGGTCTGATCCTACTCTTTTGGAAAGAGTGAAGCAATATAGTGAAACAATGATGAGGGCCATTGATTTAATCAGTTATTACACTTTTCAATATAAACCTAATTTTGGCTGTCTGAGCTGAAACTTAATGCAAGTTTATTTGGACAGTCCACTTTCCTTTGTTTGTACAATGGAAAATAATATAAAGACCTGGGCATAAAAATCATTCTTATTATTTAAAAAAGAAGAAAAAAAGAAAAACTAGTAAATGTTTTATTAAAAATTGTTGTACAGATGTAAACCTTATTAACTGTACCTTATTTATGTAAAATTATTTATTGACAGCTTAATTCTACCATGTTATTATTTGCTGCCAATACAAATGAACATTATAAATAAGAAAATATGAAATTCATTTTAGACTTATAACTAATAATATGAGAAACTATCATTTATTAAAATCACTTGTGGGATCTCTAAACTGTTTTAAAATGCCAACTTTAGAAATGAAGCCAAATCAAGTGAATCATTTTCTATCCTTGATTAGAGCTGCACTGACTTTCAGATTGTATATTTATTTTTAAGAAAAAGATAAACACAGGACTTCATAAACCTCTAGGGCTAAACACTATAATTTACAAGAGTTATGCAAAAGGCACAAAGTAGGAAAAACTGGGAAGCAGATGGAGAAAAATAAGACCTGCTTAAAGTAATTTTTCAAGCAGTAGAGAAGATAAAGTCATCTAGAAAATGTCTTTAGCATTACTCTTACATGCTCTATTTATTGAACTGGCCCAGCCTTTCTTTTCTATCTAGTAAACTGCCCCAAACTTTGATAGCTTGAGACTCTTCAAACATCCCTATAAAATAAGTACACACACACACACACACACATACACACATGCACATGAATGTCTGTCCACCTGTTAAATGGAATTTTTTGTCCATTTCCACTTACCTGAACTGCCAGAGATTTTCTGAAGTAAAAACCCAGTACCATATCATGATGAAATAACTGAAGCTAAGTGTGGGACCTCTTTTGATCTCCACTCCCGAAATCTAACACTGAAGACTTAATTCCACAGAGAAGCCACCATGATACGGTACCAGATATTTGGGTTTTAGGTCTCTACTCCAGAAGTCTTTTCCTGATACCCTCATATATGGTGATAAATGTCTCCTTAATTTGCACAAGAGTTTTCAATTGTCCTCATAGGAGACCACCTTGAAGGAGCGAGTAAAAGGTTTAGTCATGGTTTCTATTTTTCTGTTTGAATTCAATACATTCTAGTTAAATGGACAATTAATAGGTCACTTCCAAAATAGTAGTGTATCAGTCTCGGTTAATAAACAATCCCCACAGTTGATAATGGGCCCTATGTATTCAACAAGTCCCTGTATACACTCAGCTCATCGACTAAATCCCTTTTCAGGTAGACAGGGTTATATGGGAAGATGAGCTAGAATGAGTCTATAAAAGTCAGTTTCATTCACTGCTTTATTTTTCAGTCAAGTGTTTTAAATGGTGTCCAGAAATTCACTTGGAATGTGAGACAGGAGAAAAGACTGACACACAGAGCCTTGCTTTATGACCATACAAAAGGGCAACTGACCCTTGCCCAAGCCTTTTCCATGTGAAATGGTTCCTAAAGTTCATCTGCAGAGTGAAAAATCGTGGTGAGGTCGCGTGTGGATGAGTCGAGTGAAAGTGACGATTGGTCACGGGTCCGTCACCCATTGTGGCCGGGTCTCAGCCATGTAAAGTGCTCTGTGGGAAAGTATCAGCCCCCTAAAGAGATGCTCAGAGCCTGCAGCTCATTAAACCGCCAGCATTTGCTGCCTCACTTGTCAGGAATTATTCTGTCGAGCAACTGTTTTCCTGAACCATTCCCAAGACACATGCACAGAGGCAGCAGGGATCTGAATTGAACCGTGATGGGGTTCGGCACAGGAGCCGGACTCAACTCTTATTTCACTTTTCACCTGACAGAGCTGTTAAGCTGAATAAGTGTTTTCTCTTGGGCAGCTGAAAGAAATGCACCCCTCCACTGGATCTCTTTACCATAAACTCAAATTCCCTGCCTAGAGATTCTCATCTGACCCAGAAATCTCAAGACCAAGGGGAACTTTACTTTTATGCCTGTGTTTTTCCTTTGCCTGTGAGATTGTATGTGTGCACGCTGCGAGATTTCGAAAGTCTGTCATTCTCACTCCACCCCCAGACTCTACTAAAATTTTGCTTTTATAATGTTGGGAGAAAAGAGTTCTCTTGAAAATATTTCCAACAGTTCTGGTTGGTTACCTTCAAGATGCCAAAAATGAGAGATTTATCTCCTCTCATGATCTTGACAATTTTAAAGGGGGAATTATTCTCCATAGATACTTAGTGACTTTCTGTGTTACATTTTAAGCGGAATGGAAATTTTACACAGCACAACTTTTTCACCTTCCTTCCTTTCCTTTTTCCTCTTCTTTAAAGGAGTGTTGCTACACATTTCAGAAAAGCCAAACTGGTCCCTCCGAGATCTTTTATATCAAATGGAAAACAAGTTGCTTTTGGTGATGTGTCGGCCCTGGGTTTCAATGCCATTAGAACTGCTCACAATTGCTCAGTGTGCTGAGGTTTGATAAATCTCTGGAAAGCTCCTGAATAGGATTGCTGTGATTTTTAGTGAGGAATTAGCTCCTTGCCGTTGCATTACCAATTAGTTTTCCAGAGCACATTAAATCCTGCAGCTTTCGTTTACAGAGTAACTGAGGCATTGCTGATGAAGCATAAAAACTTACTTGGAAAAGCAGCGGAGGATGCAGTGCGCCGACAGGACCCACCACAGCACGCCGAGTAGAATGGCGGCGCGCTCAGAAGAAAATGTTTGGAAGGTGCTGCGGAGAAAGCATTGATCTCATTGATTAGCCATTTCTTTAAGACAATATTCAAAACTCCAGTTTCCTAAAAGTCATTGAGTAAATACTTTGCTTAGTTTTGTTTTGAAATTAAAGTTGTTGTAAAGTAGCCTTTGTCTGTCAAAGAGCATGCCAAATAATCTCATCAAGATTTGAGAGGTGTGGTGGAAAGACGCAAAGAGACTATGAAACACCAAGCCTCTTAGATCATTTTCTGCGCAGTCATCATTGTAAACAGTAAACATTAAATATTCCTTTATTTAAAATACCCTAGAGCAACACTCTCCAAGAAAACTATCTGTGATTATTGGAAATGTCTACATCTGCATTGTTCAAAATGGTATCTGCTACCCACATACTGTACACTTAAAATGTAGCTAATATAATGAATAACTGAATGTTTAATCTAAATTCACTTATATTTAAATAGACTCATACGACTAGGGGTTACATTAAATAGCACAGCTCTAGATATGCTACTTACCAAGAAACGATTTAAATTTTATGTGCTTACATTTAATTGTTAAAGTTTGTATCACTTTGCTTATTTTCAGATGGTTCTTTGAAACATATAGTTAGTTGGATTCCAAAGTTGGTAAGAGTAAATTTACTGAGCCATTCCATAACAAAAAGTAGTGTTTCTGATCACATTTACATGACTTAAAGTATTTGAGAATAATCCCATCTTATCTCAAGAGAAATCTAGTCACCCTGAAGATATGTGTTTCTAGTATAGTGAGTTGCCGTGTAATTCTGCTCTGCATAGTTTTATTAAAATAATCTATTCATAAAATTTTCAGGAGAGACGCATGAACTATTTATGATTACTCCTGTGCAAAAGTATGAAAAAGAGACCCATTTTGGTGACTAAAAACTTCTATAAAAATTTTTTGAAGTCTCATTAGTATAAGTTGTTCTATTATTTTAACTATAAAACCATCATAGAAATGATGAATCATCCTCTTTGAATTTAACATTTTAAGCTAAACTCTGTTCCTCAGTAGATGACAACAGTTATAAAGGATAAAACATGAATAATAACTCTCCATTACTGAGCACTTACTGTATGCCATGCTTTGGTTATGTGCCTTAGACACACCATGTCCCTTCATAGAATGTGTTTAATACAATATAACTGTAGGTGGAGATTGCCTAAAGTGGGCACTTGCCCATACCATGACACACTCTGAACAGAGTGCCTAGCACATTCCAAATAGTCAAAACTTTTTTAGTAATTGAGCAAATGGTCTTCCAAACTAACAAACAGAAAACTTCCCTGGTCTTAGGGAAAGAATGAGGGTCAAGAATTAATCCTTCCCCTGCTTCCTGACCCATCCTAAAACATGGCGTCTTTCATAACTGATGACCTTGAAATCTAAAACATGACTTGAAAATAAATATTTTTATGATTCTCCTTTCATATTCAAGTGACAAATTCTTTCCTTTTCTTAATCACATTCAGTGAATATTGTTTCCATATGACTACATACCTTTTTGAAGAACACAGTAATTTCAGACTTGTATTTTAACGAACTGATGAGTTATGTTCATGTTTATTTTCACAATTTCTGTGAAGGATGTATCAAAATAAGTATAGTTCCCAGTAAGAATTATTATAGTATTTCAGGGTCCTGGGTGCTTTAAAATTGCAGATTAATCATAAATGCAGTTTTCTTCCTAGCACACAATGGGAAGTTGTTAACATTAATGCTTTTAGGTTTTTTAAATACTTGGGCTTTTAAAGAATCAAGTGTTTGTTTAAATGATCAATTAAATCAAGTGTTTGTTTCAAATGATCAATTAAATTCTTAGTGATAAATGTGGTTTACAGATGTCTGATCTTAATGCTGAATTAACCAGCAAAACCATTTTAATTGAATAGTCTATATCGCTCTACATTACCCTATCTTAATATATAAAAGCTGTAATCAAAATGACAGTATCAAAATCTGTAATTGCAAAAAAATTAATCATAATCTACAGTAACAATTCTAGTTTTGACTAAAGAACTGGACTTCTTCACATTTTGTGACATGACCAGGCTTGAAATTCTATTGTGTACAATTTTTCACCATTTTAAATCATCTTTTTGACACACATATTTACACATGAGTTTAAGTCAATTCCTGATTGCTATACACAAATACATCTTGTTTAAGCTGGTTTATGTGAAAATCACTGTAAAATTCCAATTAAGTGGTTTTTTTTTTAATGTATTCCTATTTTGACCTAAGTCAAATGCTAATCCAGTGAGCATGTGATTGCAGGAGCACTGAATGGTCTTAAGAAATCACCATTTAAAACAATGCACTGCATTGAAGGTATACATATATACATACCATATATATATATGTAGCACTTTTAACTTTAGTGAACCATATACATTTTTTAAGTAATGACCAAAACAGGAAACTCAGTTTTGAAGAAAACAAAGTGACAAATTGATAGACGTGCCATAAACCCTCAAGAACTACTTGGAAGGTGCTCTGAAAAAGGTAGAAAAGGTAATTTGATCCTATATAAAATGCATTTCAAACCTGATCCGTGCCATCTAGATGCAGTTGCTTAATCATTTATCATGTTAGAAATGATTAACTGTAGGCTCACTGAACAATATTTATAATGATAATATTTAAGGAGTGCTTACTATATATCAGGCACTGGACTAGCTACAAATTTAACACATGCTATCTCATTGATTCATTAACATTCAACACATCTGAAATGTGATTATGACCGCTCACAGCAAATTAAAAGAAAAAAGGATGAGAAAAACAATAAAGATTTAATATAATAATTAATTACTAGCCATGAGGGAGAGAGATTTCATGCACCATGACTCTGCCAGTTATTCAATAAGAGCTTGACCCTGGATAACTGACACATCTCCCAAGATTTCCATGAGAAAGAAAAAAAATGGCCTTTCCTCTGGAAAAAAAATATAAACAGGTCAGGTTCTACAGCATGACGTCAGTTTATATTAATACAACATCTTGAGACACTCCAAATTTCATATCCTACTGTGATGGCTAATACTGAGCGTCAACTTGATTAGATTGAAGGATGCAAAGTATTGATGCTGCGTGTGTCTGTGAGGGTGTTGCAAGGGAGATTAACATTTGAGTTAGTGGGCTGGGAAAGGCTGGGTGGGCACCATCTAATCAGCTACCAGCACAGCTAGAATATAAAGCAGGCAGAAAAAAGTGAAAAGACTAGACTGGCCTAGCCTACCAGCCTACATCTTTCTCCCATGCTTCCTTCCCTCAAACGCTGGACTCCAAGTTCTTCAGTTATGGGACTCAAACTGACTCTCCTTGCTCCTCAGCTTGCATACGTCCTATTGTGGGACCTTGTGATCTTGTGTTAATACTTAATAAACTCCCCTTTACATATATGCCTACATATCCTATGAGTTCTGTTCCTCTAGGGAACCCTGACTGATACACCTACCAATCAAGCTTTCAATTTCTGTGTGAAACTGTTATGAGTGACAAACAAAATGACTTAAAATCTTTGGAACTAAACTGGGGCCTGTCTGAATCCAAATGACTAAAATTATGTATTCAGAGAAAACTTCATGAACTTTCCGTATGACTTATTTGAAGATATAGATTCAAGATACTTTTTATTTTGCATGTTTATTTAAGATGGGAACTTCTAGCCAACCTAATGGTGAACTGGACTGATTTTTTTAACTTAGCTGACTAGATGGTTCTGTGATACAAGTATCCCATAGCCAAGCAAGGTTACAAGTTTAGCTACTGAGAAATTATTCTGTTTTCTAGAAAACAATAATTTTTTAAATTGTTTTTTGTTCTTTTCATTCTCCTTTAGTAAAGCAGAAGAACATCAGGAATCTAAATGGTGTGAAACCACATTCTTATTGGCAATACAAACTATGGTGCTAACCGACTTGAACTGTTTTTGGAAGGAAGAATACTAAAGACCACTAATAAAACTTTCAAATAAATTTCAGGAGCCCACTGCATTTAAGAAGGATGAGGAGAAATAACAGAAAGTTCCAAAGTATCTTACTAAGGCAACCACTGGGGGAAAAAACCCTCTAGGAAAGAATGACAGGGAAGTAAATAATTAAGAATATTATTATAATAAATAATATTTATAGTTAATTAATTAAATTAATTGAAGGGATCAATTCAACAGGAAGAGCTAACTATCCTAAATATATATGCACCCAATACAGGAGCACCCAGATTCATAAAGCAAGTCCTTAGAGACTTACAAAGAGACTTAGACTCCCATACAATAACAATGAGAGACTTCAACTCCCCACTGTCAACATTAGACAGATCAACGAGACAGAAAGTTAACAAGGATATCCAGGAATTGAACTCATCTCTGCAGCAAGCAGACCTAATAGACATCTACAGAACTCTCACCCCAAATCAACAGAATATACATTCTTCTCAGCACCACATCACACTTATTCCAAAATTGACCACATAATTGGAAGTAAAGCACTCCTCAGCAAATGTACAAGAACAGAAATTATAACAAACTGTCTCTCAGACCACAGTGCAATCAAACTAGAACTCAGGACTAAGAAACTCAATCAAAACCGCTCAACTACATGGAAACTGAATAACCTGCTCCTGAATGACTACTGGTATACAACGAAATGAAGGCAGAAATAAAGATGTTCTTTGAAACCAATGAGAACAAAGATACAACATACCAGAATCTCTGAGACACATTTAAAGCAGTGTGTAGAGGGAAATTTATAGCACTAAATGCCCACAAGAGAAACCTGGAAAGATCTAAAATTGACACTCTAACATCACAATTAAAAGAACTAGAGAAGCAAGAGCAAACACATTCAAAAGCTAGCAGAAGGCAAGAAATAACTAAGATCAGAGCAGAACTGAAGGAGATAGAGACACAAAAAACCCTCCAAAAAATCAATGAATCCAGGAGTTGGCTTTTTGAAAAGATCAAAATTGAGAGCTAGCAAGACTAAG